TCTGTCTGTCTATCTGTCTGTCTGTCTATATATCTATCTGTCTGTCTGTCTATATATCTATCTATTTTGAATGAAAACATCTGATAAATGAATAAATGTATATTTCAAAAGCATGTAAAGTTGCTCATATTCAGATGAAGTGAATCGCTGGCGCTGGATTGGGAGTGACTGTGTTTGTCTGTGTAGATCACTATGTAGTGCTCAACCTTCGTCGGGATGGTAAAGTCATCAGCACTAAGGAGACGAAGGGAGCGAGTGGAGCGAACGCCGCGTGGAACACACCCTTTCTGTTCGACCTTCCAGCCGGAGACGCCAGTGCCCTGTCGCTGGAGCTCATCGTCACGCAGGTGTGTGTGTGTGTGTGTGATCTGCACTGATACTGGATATACAATCAGTAGTGTTGTGTGAAATATTATTACAATGTACGGCTGTTTTCTATGTGAATATATTGAAAAATGTATTTTATTCCTGTGATAATACCTGAATTTATTTAATTAAAAATACAGTAAAAATCACAAAATATTATTAGAAATTAAAATGGCTGTTTTCTATGTGAATATGTAGTCAAATGCAATTTATTCCTGTGATCAAAGCTGAATTTATTTCATTTAAAAAATACAGTAAAATCACAAAATATTAATGGAGTTTAAATCAGCTGTTTTCTATGTGAATATATAGTAAAGTGTAATTTATTCCTGTGATTTTCAGCATCATTACTCCAGTCTTCAGTGTCACATGATCCTTCAGAAATCACTCTAATATGATGCTCTGATGCTCAAGAAACATTTATGATTATTATCAGTGTTGAAAACAGTCGTGCTGCTTCATATTTCTATGGAAACTGTGATAACTCTTATCTTTCAGGATTCTGTGATATGATGTGTGACATCATGTGCATAACGTCTATTGAGACACATCATGTGATGTCACCGTCGGCTATTACACACAGCGTGAATGCTGCGGAAAACACACACACACACACACACACACACACACATCTAGTGATCGAAGCAGACACGCTAGACACACACACATCTAGTGATCGAAGCAGACACGCTAGACACACACACATCTAGTGTTTGTGTTTTCACACTCTTAAGTGTTAGCCGTACACTGCCCGATGTTTAGCTGAGATTACATTAGTTTACCACTTTATTCTGAGACAGTCGCGCATTTGTGATCCGTCTTTCGGAAACTTGTAGACTTTTGCCCTCATCGAAACAACAAGTACGAAAGTTCACACTCAGTCAATCAGATACTGTACATTTGAGGCATAAAGATTAATAAAAGAAAAGCATCAAACATACATTTCAAATGATAATAATGGTTAACATCAAAATGATAGTAATGAGAAACACATCAATGTGATAATGATTTCTTAACATATGATTGATTACATTTAATTAAATCATATTGAAGATCTATAATGATTGAATGATAAAACATAAGCAAGAGATTTAATCATTTTTTTCTTTTTCTGACTCATCACATCTAAAACGGGAAGAGTTTTGAGATTGACTGAATAAATAGATTTGACTAGAAATTTGAGGTATATTTTTACAGACTGGATCCGCGATTCACAGAAACAACGACTCCAGGCAGAGAACGGTGGATTTAGTTTTCAGTCTGTGTAGATATGCTGAATTATGGGGTAAAATCACACACTATATATTGTATTGACAACTCATCAATTAAATATTTACCATCGGATATTCTGCATAATTGGACGTTTTTAAATAAACACTGATAAAAGCGACACAAGTTTTAGAGCTGGACGATATGATGATATATAAGAGTGATATCATGGATTTACACCTATATTGTGTTTATATAAAGCGTTCACAGGCAAATTTGCTTTATGTTTTTCCCGGTGTGGAAATCAGGCTCATATAAACGTGAGGAAACACGACTCCTGCCGCATGTCCATATCCACGATCACCGGATCTCTGGTCAGTCGTAAGAAACTCTATATCGAGTCCAAGCTTTAGTTTAAACTGATAATTGTTTGTTTTACTCGTTTATTCACAGTTTCCTCTATTGACTCCAGTCACTCCGCTGCTCTTCCGCCACTCAGTCCGGCGAGGGAGTGTGTTCCCGTGGGAAAGTGACTCAGTGCATACTCTCTATAATGACATGGCTCTATTATTGATTGACAGGGAAGGCGATACACGAAGAGTTGCATTCTGGGCCGTGTTCTGATTGGCCAGGAGGGTTCTGATGTGGGAAGCCAGCACTGGAGGGAGATGTGCGACAGGGCGCAGGTGGAGACGGCGTATTGGCATGAGCTCCAGCCTCACGCCTCATAGGCCAGCAGCGTTTGATTGACACGCCCCCGAACCAATCAGATCGCTCCTGTGACAGCTCTGGAGGCCACTGACTGAGGAGCCTGGTTTGAGGAGACTTTGTGCTGAACTTGTTTGCAAATATCCCTGCAGGGTGTCATGATTAGTTAGTTAAAACATCAGATGATTTTGCACTAGTGAACGGATCAGTCCCAGACATCAACATAGTGTCGGCCCAGATCCGGCCCACATCTGGGCCCATATACAGGTGAAACTCGAAAAATTTGAATATCGTGCTAAAGTTCATTTATTTCAGTAATTCAACTTAAAAGGTGAAACTAATATATTATATAGACTCATTACATGCAAAGTGAGATATTTCAAGCCTTTATTTGTTATAATTGTGATGATTATGGCTTACAGCTTATGAAAACCCCAAAGTCAAAATTAGAATATTGTGAAAAGGTTTTCATAAGCTGTAAGCCATAATCATCACAATTATAACAAATAAAGGCTTGAAATATCTCACTTTGCAATGAGTCTATATAATATATTAGTTTCACCTTTTAAGTTGAATTACTGAAATAAACGAACTTTTGCACGATATTCTAATTTTTCGAATTTCACCTAAAAAAAGTTAACAAAATCTAATAAAAATGACAAAAACAGACAACAAAATTAATACAAACTTACACTAAATTTAAAATGAACATAAAATATAAAAGCTATAATAGTGATACTAAAATAACACTGGCGAATTTATTTCTTTAAAATGAGATAAAACAACATAATTCATAAACGAGTGTACCAGATGTGGGCCGGATCTGAAACTGCTGCTGTCTGGGGTCCCGATGCCGTAAACTAACACTAAAATGTATTCGATAATTGAAAAAAGAAATAAAATAAAATTAGTTGAAAAACATACTTTAGTTAGAAAATTAGAAATGTTGTCTTGGCAACAAACTAAATAAAGTACTAAAATGACTAATACTAAAACTGATCTTAATGGACTATCATGATTTAGTGGTATTAGTGCTGCTTGTAGTGTTTGTTTCACTAGTTTATCTTGTAACGGAATGACACGTCAAATGAAGGATGGCGGGTTGAAAGATTCCAGTTAAATTAAGCAAACGATTTCATTGATTTATTGTTTGTTTCACCTGTTGATCACTTCATGCTGTAGTTGCGATAAACTCTGCGTTGAAATGTGAGATCGCAAATCACATCTCGGAAACTAAGATGCAATCAAATATTCATGATTGGTTTTGGCCAAATTAAAAATCTGATGAAAAATGCAATGCATATCAGTTAAAGTGATAGCAGAATAATTTTATTTATAAATCTCCAAATGCTCATGGAAGTGTAGATGGAAGCCACAGACTGTATTTCAATGCAATTGCACGCATGCAGAATGGCCTTAATGTGTCTGTCGCTCTCTGAATATTTGTCTTTCTGCATTGGATCAAGATTTCAATGTGCAGACGGAGTGTATTCAGTGAAATCGAGAATGAACACACTGTAATGCAAACATGTGTTGAGCTAATGCCGGTTTAAAATAAATGAGCTCCGATATGAAAGAATGATAAAACATTATGTTGGAGTTTAAGCAATTGTAATGGAAAGAACAATATAGTTTTAAAGGTGCACCATGTGACTTCATTTATCTTCACCTTTAAAGTAGTCTTTAAATATTCTGGTGTTTTCGTGGTATATCACGTATTTTTCCACGTATCAGTTTATAGTGGTTTATTAAACTGTCAGAAGGGCATAGAATATAAAAACATTCTAATATCAAATACAAATTTGCTTTGAAAAATAGAGGTAATTAAATCAATTTATAACTTACAATTTAGTTAACAATGTAATCAAATGGAAATTCAATGAATCCTTTTATTTATTTGGCAAGTTTGCAGTTTAAATTAAAACATAAATACTTGTGTGATACTCCTTAAAAATAATGTTTTAATTATTTTACATTATATTATTACTACTACTACTACTTGAAATAGAGTACTGAGCGATGGTAATATTTCTGTCATAATTTCCTCAACTTAAACGGAACTTTTATTTTGACGGGTTGTCGTGAAGACTTGTGTGTATGATGTGATGAAATGGTGGTTTTCAACTTAAACATAAAACTTTTATGAGTTTTGGCCGTTCATTTACACGACAGCAGCGATTTGGGGGCCTTAAAACGCAAACTTACTGTTTACGGTTTACTGTTCTCTTTTTTTTTTTCTTTTTTTTCTTTTGATTTGACAGTTATTTATTTATTTATTTTTTATTGACAAAAACCAGCAACATACAAAACTCTCATAGGGAAAAGAGAATATACATGCGTATATACAAATGTTGTCAATATACAAAAAGTATTAACCAAGCAGAAAACAACCAAAAACAAACCAAAGAGGCGGAGCTACTTCAAAATACACAAGTCAAAGCCAACAAGGCTAAAGAAAAGAAAGTTCACATTTGGAGCAGCACACACACACACACACACACACACACACACAAGGGGCTTTATCTTGCACCCGCGCAAATGACTTTGTACACTGACGCATGTATCATTCCTATTTTGCACCCGCGCAAAGCGGGCTTTTCCCTCCACAGACGCACGTCGGTTAACTAGGGAATGAACTTGCGCTCTCTGGGCGGGTCGGCGCAAAAAGGAGGCGTGTTTCGGCGCAAACATTCCCTAGCGCTATTGTGCAGTTCCAG